ACCTGTCAACAACTCCTGTCTGTGTCATGCCTCTGGAGAAAAAGCCTCTCCTACGACCGTCCCCACATATCTCACTTTTCTCACAACTTTGCATACAAATGGCGTGGACAAACATTAAAAAAACAAAAAACAAAAGCAGTTCTTCCGTCCGCCCCCTTTTAACACATACCTCACGGGAACACAATGTATCTGTATGGAGCTATGTTTTCGGAACTTCTTCCCTCATCTTTATTCAGCGTGGATTTGGCTTTTCATGTCCCCACATTACATCTTCATCTCATTTCCTCTCAAATCCTCATAGACACATTCTTAATCTCTGTGTGCCAGAGATCCATCTCACTGTTTTGCTAAGGCCTACGATATGGTAGCTTTACAAACCCCTATTTAAAAAAATCTGTCAATCAAGCTATTTGTTCAGGCAGTGCAAATTCATTTTCAATTACTATTCACTCCTGGTCTGGATAAGGCTTGTAAAAAAAAAAAAAGGAAATCACAGTGACTATTGGTCACACCGACTTAATCCAGCGATGAATGAGGAAATGCACGTACAGAAGGCCGTGCAAAAATTGTGCTGGGTGAATAAGGAGGAGGGCGAAGCTATTCATACAAGTTAAAAATACATATTTACATATAATGGTATGGGGTCATCAGTGTAGACCCGAAGTTAATGAAAATGAATAATGGAAAGTGTGCATTAGGCAACTTCAGTAATTACTACGCTACTTGGCCAAGGTGATTACCCGGAGGGGAACAGCCAGAGGACACTGCAAAGAAGTGGGAACTTTCTCCTGTTCTTCTCGCTGCATGCGAGCCCTGCCCTTGATCAGCGGGAGATGTTGGAGTGAAGCGTTAACATCCGATTAGGATGGTTGGAGAAGTGAGTAATGGACCTGTCGTCTAGAACAGGATCTGTATGGTTGCCTCTGTGCTACACAGAGAGATTGGTGGTTTGTGGTCACTGGCCGGCCTCAAATTAGCTTAGCGTGAGTTATGTCCTTGTTTGTGTCACACGGTGATGGGAACAGAGTTAAACAGACAAAGCTGAGCCCTGTAAAGCACTTCAATATGTTCAAATTGAGCACACTGACTTCATTCAGCAGACACTAGTCATTTGTAAGCTCTACAAATTCTGCCATCAGGCATTCTTACCTGTATGAAACTATAGGACAAAACTAGCTACATTTCCTCCTCATCTAAAGCAAGACTGTGTTGCCTTTTTTCTCAACAGCAGCCGCAAATGACAGTTAAGGGATAATGCCACTTCATTTTCCAAGGCACCATCATTAGGAGGCCTGACTCAGCGCAAAAGGAATCTCACCACAAGCAGTAAACAAGCATGTCTCCCGCTGAGATAAATGTGTTTACTTCTTTTACATTTGATGTAAAACCACTGCAACGTAAATCTCTGGCTAAATGCTAAATGTAGAATCTGTGTCAAGTTTGCTAAGCTAACAATAGCCACCCTAAGCTGCTGGGCATACCCTGGATTCAGGGGCCCCTGTTCTTTCCTATGAAAGTTGCTCAGTGGCACATGAAGCAATAAAAGTTGACTTCAGATAGAGTTTTGGAGATTCTTCACCGCTGCTTGGTGTATTTTTGGCATAACACTTGAAATTACTGTTTTCAGGAACATTTAATCTTCCATTTTGAAAGAACTGTAGGTGTATTGTTTTGAGTCTTTTGTTTTTAACTCAAGTGTTGTCTCATGTAAGCGAGTTGTTTCTTGTTTGTATCAAAATTCCCAATAAAAGAAGAAAAAATCAAATATAATGAATTACAGCGTGGTTATTATATAACATTATTTAACTGAATTTACAGAATAATCACTGTATTACTGTTATATAAATTTACATAAACTGTAATTAAAGATTTTTGGCCATATTGCCCACCCCAACTTTCAGGTATACATTTATCTGGATCTTCCGCATTGTGGCCTTCAGAGTAAGCACACTGGCTTTTCCTTTAACCCCACCTCCCAATCACTCAATCTCGGGCTCTGTCACATAAATGACAGTTCATTATAACATTCAATTCAGCTGCTAATGAGTTTTACAACTTTAAGGTAGTCCTTTTCACAATGTAAGCCTATGACGAAAGGTCTTTTTTGGCTCCAGAGCATCACGTAACAGACCTGGAAATTGTAATTCCATGGTTTGGCCACTATGTCAAACTGGCTTCAAAGCCTGGCAATGTTCCTGGGGGCTTGGTCATACCACACCAACTAAGGCCGAAGCAGGAAAATCCCTAAGTGTATCAAAAGGATCAAGGATGAGTTTAATTGCTTATAAACTGAACTTCTTTGGATGAACGCTCAATTCCTTTTAAGAAAAAAACTTTAAATGACAAGTGATAATGATACCCGCAAGCCTATAACAAGCAAACCAGAGGGAAAGTGTGCCTCTCTAATGGGCTGATGTGTTTTTGCATGTAGTGAATCAGTTCACAGTGAAGATTATTAGTCACTGTTCAAAGACTATTGAAGCACTGATGAGTCAATCACATGTGGTGGGAATCCGAGGCAGCACTTAATAGTGGTGTCATATTAGCAACATTTCTTCCTAGTTAAGCTGTTTTGTGCAAACATGGCCAGATAAACAGATCTGGGGGGCCCAGGATAAAATATTAGAATTGGGCCCCTATTGTCTCCCAGCCATCGACTGTATTAAATTGTGGACATAGCCACTGTGACAACACCCATTTTGAAGCCTCAAATCTGGCATTTTGTTTTTTTGGGTGGGGGAGCCAGAAGTGACCATATTTGGTCAAGAGGGTGGAGCTCGGGAGGATTGCTACGCCTCTTTCCTGACTGACAGGTCACCTTGGTAGGAACTTGTCAATCACAAGGTAGCCACGTCCTAAAGTATACCCTGCTTTATCGTCTGTTTTACTCTAAACTGGACCATAATTTACAAAATGAACATGCTGTGTTGATGAAGACTTGAAAGTAGGCCATTAACTCATTAGGAAAATGTTTACTGGGGTAATAAATCCAAGACTTCTTTTTGCAACCAGTGGAGTCACCCCCTGCTGGCCATTAGAAAGAATGCAGTTTTAAGTCACTTCCACTTCTTTTCTTCCACTTCTTTTATACAGTCTATGCCCCCAACCAGCACCAGCAGTGAGTCAATTTTATTTTTAAGGATTTATGACTTCATTTATTTGTTGTTGGTGCTGTAGCCACAGCTGTCACACCACAGTCCACTGTTTTGTCACTATGATTTCAAGCACTGTGCAGCTCCTTCATTTCCGTCATAAATTGTTTTGTGGTACAGTCATGTGTGAACATTACTAACGAGATTTTTGTCTGAATACCAGCATTTAAAGAATATGTGTTTTCCAGAGTGGGCACTCTGTATGCTCAAGACATGATTAAGTATATAGTATGTGATGGAACTTCTCTGGAGAGTGTAAATCCATCCCACTGTAGCTAAAGGCAAAAAAGGAAATGGCTGACTCTGTGGACAGTCCACTACCTCATGCACTGAGGACAGACCTAAATACTAAGCACATTTCTTCCAAATTGTTAAAGCATGGAGTGGAAAGCCAGCCAGCTAAAATGCAAAATAGATGGCTGATATTTTAATAATGGATAATGCTTGTGGGAAATCATAGCTCATTAACAATGAGAGAGGAAAAACTTTCTTATCTAAGTTATGATCTTTTTTTTTCCTTGCAAACCTCTATCTTACCCACTGTTTTAATTAAAGTGTGTTTTCCCTGATAATATATTTTCACTTATGTAATAAACCTACAGCCAGCAGAAACATTATTTTAACTCACCAGTGGAATTAAAGGATCTAAGAGAAGGTGCAAACCCGAAGCTGGTGCCAAATAATTCATAACTGAAGACCAAACTCCTGGTAGCATAAACACACCTGCACACTGACAATGTGTTGAAATAAACACAAAAAGATGTGGGGGCAGGCGGAGACGGAGATGTTGCACAATGAGCTGCTTTACAGACGCCTATAAATGACAGAAGAATCATTTTTTATATGATATTTACAACATTAAATCCAAACTCCAATCCGCATAATCCTCTCTTTGATTCTGCGATTTAATGCATAGACAAGCCAATGCAGCGCTTGTAACATTCTTCTGTTTGCATAATATCTCACCGGTAGTCTCTCCGTCACACACACATACATTAGAGATTCTGACTTGGCCTACTTTAGGTGTTCAGGGAAAAAGCGTCATGGCACAGGATGCGAAGCAGGCATGCTGATTTTCCTGCATATCTGTTTTGGTTGTTTTTAATTGTAAGGAAATGGCACAAAATAACATATCCACGCTCCTTCTTCATAGATATGTCCAAAAAAGAATGACAAGTGTGTGTATTTAGCAGCCAGAAACCTGTGGGCCTATCCAGGAGTCTTGTGATACATTATCAGTAGAATGAAGGCACACAGATAAGGTGCAGAGATTATGTTTCGGGGTGCTGTTTACCTCCAGAGATAAAGCAAGGGTGCGACACTCCCCGTGCACAGTAGCTGAAGGCAACGGAGGGAAAAAAAAACATCCAGCAGCACCTTGAAATAAACTTGTTTGAGAATGGATTTGGAGCAAATCAGCCCCACCCTTCAGACTGAATCCCCCCGGCCTGTGTAAATAAGCCATCAATGGCTGTCACATAACTGTTACACTGGCCAGGACAAATGAAGACGCAGGGTGCTGCCTGGGCTGCCGCCGCCGCTGACTGTAATTGCAATCTTTCAGACGGGAAATGGCAAATTGCTCCTCTCATCATTAGCAACCAGCTAAGACAGAAAACAGACATGCAAGCCTGCAAACATAATTATAATGACACACTGGGAAAAGCAGAGGAACTGCTATGGAACACATCTGGGGCTTTCATGAGACCACTGCAGACTGGCTGAACAGGTCTGCCGTGGGCTCTGGAGTGTGTTTTTTCCCCCCCTTTCGCATGCGTGGCTGTTTAAATTCAGATCCCATCAAGTGATCTGCGCCGTGTTTACCTAGCAACGGCATGGCAGACTTACTCGTGCAGGCCACAGATGGAGGGTCAGAGATGGCTCGGTAGTAGCCGTCCTCGCAGTCGCAGCGCCAGGAGCCCTCGCGGTCGTTGAAGCTGTGCGCCGGACAGCGAGAGCACTGAAGGTCCTGGGAGGAAGACTTGTAGAAACCACGACCGCACGCTGTAGAAGGGAAAAAAATAAAAAGAATGAGGCCAAGGCAAGGAGAGGAGGACAAAGGCAAAAAAACAAAGTTATAAAGCATTTGCACAGACAGCGTTATGTGAGGATCTTGTGTAATTTATCAGTTACCCCCAAATTTCAGCATAATCAAATTTGCTAAAATGAAAAACAGGTGGAGTGGAGTGCTCAAATTAAATCTCTCATATTCAGTTTAAGAAAAACAATGAGTGAATAGAGCAGTGTTTCAACCTTTCAGTGTTTTGAAACCCCTTGAAATAATGCAGTGTCTGCTTGTCAGAGAGTTCATACGTGTATGAGTTGTGAACATTTCCCCTGAAGGGTGATTTTCCTTTCAAAACTTCTCAAACTGATTCAAGTTACGTAGAGGTAAAATTATAGCCTACAACTTTTAATCTAAAACAAGCAAAGTCTAGAGAAAAAAACTTATTTGTGTAACAGAACTTTGTTTTTTTAATCATCTTACAACCCCTAAGATTTGTCTCGTGACCCCAGAGGGAAATGTTCAGCACTATTCGAGGATAGCACGAAGTGTACTTTTATACACAAAGTAAAGATTTTTAAACTGAGGCTAACATCCATATTTTAAAGGGACAGTTCATCCCAAGATCAAAAATGTATTTTTCCTCTTACCCATAATGCTATTTAGCAGTCTAGATTGTTTTGGTGTGAGTTGCAGAGTGTTGGGAGTGTTGGAGATATCAGCCACAGAGTTGTCTGCCTTCTCTCCAATATAATGGAACTAGATGGCACTCAGCTTGTGGTGCTCAAAGCGCCAACAAAATACATTTGGAGAACCCAACAGCAATCATGACCCGGTTACTTTAGATAATCCACAGACCTTGTTGTAAGCAGTTTTGTGTAGGAACTATTTTCTTTCTGCTGAACTACAACCACAAACTGTATCACTACGCAGAAGGAAGTGTGCATCTACTGCTAGCTCACCTTACACAACTGAGCAAGCTAACCTTACAGCTCAGCCAAGGAGGATGTCGTAAGTGTTTACATCCTCACCTGGTTACTTAAAATAAGACATAAACCTTGTTGTGAGCAGTTTCCTGTAGGAACTACTTTCATTCTACCGAATTACACCCAACTAGAGCTGCAATAATTAGTCAATTACTTGATTAGTTGATCAAAAGAAAATTAATAGCCAACTATTTTGATTATTTTCAAACAAAGTGTCGAACATTTGCTAGTTCCAGCTTCTTCATTGTGAAGATTTGATGATTTTCTTTGTCATGTATGATAGCAAATAATGAGTCTTTGGGTTTTGGAATGTTAATTGGACAAAAGAAGCAAAACATCACTTTGGGTTCTTGGAAAATAATAATAGGTAGTCTATTTTCACAACTCCTTTCAACATTGTATAGACTTAACAATCATGGAAATAATATAACGAGAGGCTTTTGCTGGCGACAGCGTCAAATGTAAACATTAGTGGTGTTCTACTCGGCTAGCTCAGTGGTCCTAGTTGAGTTAGCAGTAGATGCACACTTCCTTCTGCACTGGTGATACGGTTAGCAGGTGTAGTTGATAGAAAGAAAACAGTTCCCACATGAAACTGCTCACAACAAGGTCTGTGGATTATCTTGAGTAACCAGGTCATGATTTCTGGAACGAGACATTGCTGTTGAGGTTTTTTTAATGGTTCTTTTTTTGGCACTTTGAGCACCACAAGCTGAGTGCCATCTAGTTCTAATATATTGGAGAGAAGGCAGACATCTCTATGGCTGATATCTCCAACACTCTGCAACTCACACCAAAACAATCTAGATAATAGATGACAGGAAAAATGTGTTTTTAATTTTGGGGTGAACTGTCCCTTTAAAGTTCAAAAAATCTGAAAATAACAAATCTGCCAACATTATTTTTAACATAAGCACTTTAAAGTTTCTGATAAGGATCCCTTAAATTTGGTAAGCCATGAATTGTGGTCAAGATATGTACTGAGCAGTAAGTAAAGGGTTAGTAGGATTATGCTGTTCTCAGCAAAAAAAACTCAGCAGATACCTGGAATTCTCACAGTTTTTTTTTTTTAAGTAAACCCCAGTCATACGCCAGGTTCACACAGCATTACATTCACTGATGATCTCATCAGTCATTATAAATCACTGAATGTCTCCAGGTGATATTAGTCTTGTGCAAACAGTCTGAAAGAGTCCTCATTCACACCTGTATTCCCATCATGACGAGGACATGACAGAACAAACCACTGTGTTGACATCTTGGCGCAGCCTGTATTTGACAGGACCCGCCCCCCTCGGGCTTCATCAAGCAGACTGAGCCACGAAAAAAGCACTGTAAAACTCAAGTTGAGGCATTTGCCCGGGATAAACTACAACCTCTCACTTCAAGAGGTACATAACAAGGCTATTTTTATTCTGATGAATCCTCAGGTCAGTAAAGAGGTCTGCCTTGTTTATAACAAGCCCTATCTCTGAGAGGAAACATTTTTCAGTCGAGCAGAGAGATAAATATCGAGCAGGAGCACATGGATCATTTCAACATTTTACCTTTGACCAAGTCGGTAAACAAACAAAGACTGATATCACGAATCAAGGAGGACTCATCGCCGCCTGCGTGTTGAGATAGTCATTTAACAATTACACCCAAATTACTCACCCACACATCATTTCTCTGAAGTTACAAATGATTCCCATGACAGCAAGTAATGACAAAGACACAAACGGCAAACAAAATACTGATTCACAGCAGGCTCACTGTGAATCACATGCATTTGTCGAATTAATATTTAAATACCAGTAAGAATAAAATGTCTATTCTGGGTCTGGCTATTTTAGCCGGCGCGTTGACTAATCCACAGTGACCGGCTGTGTGTGCAAAACGGAGCTAAGCCTGGTGAAAAGCTGCAATCCAGGCCACATGATTTCTTAAACAATCTGCAAGAAATCTATACTTCTGTGAATAGCTCTGCATACAAACTATCAAATTATACTAAAAATGCATTTTTCATGAGCCACTGGGGGAAATGAGCAATGATTGTCATACTGGGTCTCCCCCATTACAGATCTATTTCTTTATTTCCTTTTTTTCCAGTGAAATATATTGGCCACCACCTCCTGTGACAGGTCCGGAATAAGGAAAGAGAAATCTGACTTTTTTTTTTTTTTGTTTTACCACTTCTCCAGCGGCATGAAGAGGAGGCCGGGGCTCGGGGTATCTCCATTTCAGCTACATGAAAGCCCTGTCATTCTCCATTTATCGCACTGCCACAGCCTCGTGAAACAAGACCTTTTTTTTTCAAGTGGAAAAAAGACATGATTTTATCTCTAATCTTTCTTTACCTTTCCGAGCCAGTAATTGAAAACAGAGCCATGAGGAGTCTGCGAGCGGTGGGTCTTGAATGCTGACCAGGCGAAACATATACACAGAGCCTACAAGCGCTTACTCATCATATTTAGCTGCTTTCTTACTGTATGTTCCCTTCTGATGAGTGATAACATTTGACAAACAGCAAAGCAAACCATGTCTAGTTGCTGTATCTGATGTGCAGTGTAAACACTCCCCCATGGATGTTGATAATGACACTGAAGGGTTTTCTCCAGCAGGTTAAAGAATGGCTAGATCCCGTTTAAGACCGTGCTTTCTCCCACCATGCCGAGCTGTTTAAACATTCTGATAAGCCAGCGTGTCTGTTTGCCTTTGGGTTTCTGAGAGCTCATCTGCTGGGTGGCCGGTGTGCTGAGGGGGAGAGCCCGGCAGAGACTGAAGCTATCACCCACCGAGACCACCACTCCAGCAGACAAGAGCATCCACAGCAGATTAAGACGAGCACAAGGAGGGGGGGGCTTTTGAAAGTAAACACAACGTTTCTGGATGACCTCACTTACCTCTCATTTTCATATTTAGCTTTTATGGTATTTCTGTTGGTTAGGGGTTATGCTTTTTTTCCTGTGATACCAATTCCAATACCAAAGGTCAGAGTACCAGCCAATACCAGGGTTGTCACAATACCAGAATTATAATAAAAAATGGATACCTGATACCTCTTTTAATTCCATGAAAATAAGAAAAAATGATCCTAGGCACGCATAATACGTTTTTGTTTTCCTTTTACTAACAACCTGCACACAGTGCTGATACAGAAAAAGTCACTAACCGCCTCCAGTAACATGGTGGGTACACTGCTGGAGAGAATGCTGTAAAAGCGACCAGTTTATTTGCTTCCCTGCTGTTTTATCTGTGCAGCACTGGGTTGAAAATCAGACTGTAGATCTGCGGAGACTGTATCAAAAACGTATGAAGTATCAATAGCCTACTTTTGACAAGACTGTGTACTGATCCAATACCAGTGCTCTTTGCCCCCAAATTTAAAAGTTTAAAGGGGACCTAATGTGTTCATTTTCAGGTTCATACTTGTATTTTGGTATGTTAACATGTTATAATGTTCAAAAAGCACTTGATGTTCCTCTTACTGTCTGTGCTGGAACCTGTATTCACCCTCTGTCTGAGACACTCTGTTTTAGCACCTGTTTCTTTAAGCCCCCCTCCTAAAAAAAAGCCCAGTCGGCTCGGATCAATCAGCATTTCCACATCCTTCGCATTTCAGCTCTCTGTCATTGCAGCTGCAGGGTTGACTGTAATGGTGAACAGCGACACCTTCTACTCTGAAAAATCACCAATAAAAGCTTCTAAAGCAAAATCAGTTCTATCTGTTTTAGCTGAAATATGATCAGAAATAAGGGAGAAATTACCATCAGCAACCAGGATTACATGTTTCCCTGAAGTTAGCATGTAGCTACATGTAGCAGTGTCCTTGCAGCCAGAGAAATGACTGCATTAAGTGTCACTTTCTTCTATTAAAAATCACCAAAGCTTCTAAACACAACCACAAAAAGTCCAGCAGAAGTATGATCCAAATCGGGGAGAAATTAGCAACATTTACAAACAGGATTACATGTTTCCCTGATGTTAGCATGTAGCTACATGTAGCAGTGTACTTGGGGAATTACTGTGTA